TTTTTTTTTTTTTCAGTGAGAAACACAAAATACCTAAAAAATTATTATATATTCAGTTTAACAGTGTCCATCCACATACTAAGAAACCATCACAGCCCTTACCCGGCTAGGGTAGGGGACATGCTGTCCTATGGCTTTTGAAAGACTGCAAAGGCAGAATGCTACAAATCGCCACATAAGCCTGGAGAACTTTCCTTTGAGAAAGTTCATGTTTATGTAATTCCAACATATTTAGCTTAGATCTTGAACTTAGTCTGTTTAATTATGTGCAGAGTATCATATGCTCTGTGGCAATGTGACCCTTTTGTTCATTATCTCTTATCCTCTCTCAGTTTTAAAATGGGACGTTTTGGAGGTATTTTTGACCTCTTTATTGGACTTGAGTATTATGTCAGCAAAACAAAGCTGAAGCTGGAAATCCTAAATCTTTTATATACACAAAACATATAAACAATCAAAAACGACAGTCAGTGTGACTGAAGGGGCAGAGACTGTGTTAAATAAACTCTTATCTATGAGGAACTGTATGTGACAACTACTGTTGTTGATAGCTAGATTCTCCAGTGGGGTTGAGGGTACACAGAGAAGTCTCTTGAGGGAATTCTTCCCTTCCCATTACACAACTGACTAAATAATGGGCCCCACTCATTCTTTCTCTCCACACACACTTTTCTTTCCTCCAATCAATTTCAGCTGTTAAAGTGTTGAAAGAGAATAATTCAATTAATATCATTCATTAAAGTATAAAATGAATATACATATGTGAGAGAAGATACATATGTTTGACTATAATTTTTATGATTAACTTAATTGAATTTCTAGTTCCTATTTTAATAGCTGATACTTGTCTTTAGCAAGATGGTAAACCCAAGACTTCTTCTATACTGGCCTGGATATAGATCTTTGTCTGCATCGGTAACTGTGAGACAGCCTACATAATTTTTATTACAAAATGCTTTTCTGTTTGTTTCATCTCAGTATAAACTACAAGAATGAGAGAAATTTCAGCAAACATCCCCAGCATAAACTATTTCTGGAGATCTTTACAGCCTTGGTGAAAAATAGACTCATATGCAGGTAAGATTGTCCCTAAAAAAAGACAAGCAGACTTTTACCCAAGATTAGCATATATCATATTTCTTGTCTCTAGAACATGATTTGAAACAGTTTAAGATTGAACACAATGTAATTAAGGAAAAGAATAGAGCAGAGAACCTTTAGAAGGAGGCAAATGAGTAGACATTGTAGATGATCTCATTAAGATCACTCTGATTAGGTATTAAGTTGACCTGAATTTCACGGCAGATAAGAGTTTTTAAAAAGTTGTAGCGTTTTCTTTATTTTGACTTTGGGTACTCAAGGAAGACCTTATCGTATGGGTCCTTATGAAAAAGACATTGGGTAACACAATGGACAACATGCTTGTGGCACACTTTTGCAGTAGATATGACTAATTACATGGACTGCCCCAGCCATGACTTTGAGAAAAGAAAGACTGAGTGTATAATACCGGGTCACAGCCTCATAAAGATGTTTCTTTTCAGAACCAAATCAAAGGTTCCCTTCCTTGTCCTCAGACCTGTCTTAACACATATGCATGTTGGGATTGTAGTGGAAGGATTAGATAACAAATCCTCTAGATTCTTTCTAAAAAATATCAGGGGTTTCCAGTAAACCATTGACTGGTTCTGGGTAGCAGTCAGGATTGAATGTTCTTTCCATCCTTGGCTGCTTGTGTGAGAGCTGAGCATGCTCCTGCCAGATGTGAAGGAGACAACCTGCATTCTCATGATAGGACCCTGCCTTTTACTCTTCCCAGGAAGCCTGGACTCTCTCTTCCCACATGCATCAGCTGAAAGAGCCTTAAATCTTCCTTATCACTTTGTGACTTGATTGAGATATCTGAATTCTGTACCAGTGAGGATGGGAACAAACTATTCCTTTTCTGAAAAACAAAAATAGGAGTATTTATAATTTAGCACCTTGACCCAAGTGAAACTCTGACTTGGCCCAGTACGACAGCTGATTTTAAGTAGCACAGCATCCTGATGGGTCAGCTACTCAATTCACACCTCAGTGGTGACCTCATGACTTGATCTTTTGATGGCGTCATTTAGTATTGGTCAAATATATTAGTTTAGTTTAAAACATTTAGGCTTGGGATTGCATCTGTCATGCCTTTGTACTTAATTTAAGCAGAGGATTGTTAGACTGGATCAGATGCTACAAGAAGCCTGAAATCTTTACCGAGATTATGTAATTGGGTCACTCTGCAGTTCTTGACAATACACTAAAAGATTGTTCAAAAATGAATGAACACTGCAAAGGACGTGAAATTGTCCTCGACCATTTTTTTTCTTGAGCTTGAACAGAATAGAACAATGTTTACTGTTTAGTAACAAAATAATTATGCATAAAATGGTATTAGGAAATAAAATTCTTTAATTTTTTTTTGTAAGACAACTAACATGGACTCTTCAAGGGATGCCCAGTAGACCATTTGTTGGGTCAGTAATTTGGGGACGGCACTAGATGCAGAAATTGTTAGGGAAAATAAATGGACAAGAGCTGGCATTAACGAGTTGAAGATCTTAGCAAATCTGAAGTCACGAGTCTCTTTTCAGAGCCTTTTCAAATTCTTAGTGATTAATGGGGCATCTTAGATTGGATGGAGTTACTGGCTTGTAACATGAGCAGTCCCTGGAAATCTTCAAACTCGGAAGAGATAATCGTAGATCTCTTTGCTTTAATTGCCCGAGAAGGAATTTAGGAATGTTGAACATCAAGGACATCCTTTAATGTTATCCTGTGGCTGCTGACAGATTATTATGTCCAGTTCTATTCTAAACGCAGGGTTGAGTAAAAGACGGCTTAAATATAAAGGTCTTCCATTGTGTTTCACCCCGTATAACCTTACTAAAATGGTCAGGATCACACCCCCACCCTTATTTTTTCTTTCCCCTCTAACTTTAGACTTGCAGAAGAAGTACATCTTTTCTGGTATAGCTTCCTATCCCCGTTTTTTGTAAACATCAGATTTAGTGTTGGATGAAAAGTTTAGATTCTATTTAATAAACTGGTAATCCATTATCTTCAAGGAAGGGAGGAAGAAAATAGTGGAGAAGGAAGAGAGAGTGAAAATACAAATGACTGGGACATGTAGTTCCTTTCTTCCTGGGGACTCAAAGTCTACTCTGATCAGCAAAACAATTACCCCCATCCCAGTGCAAGGGGAAATGTGCTAAATGCACATAATTTATATTAAGACCATTAAAGGCTGCATGAGACTCAGGGTAGGGTAGGAATTTCGGTTCTTTGTCCAATTCTGGTTGTAGACAAGATTGGGCATATTCAGGGTGGTATGCTACTTAGTTTTGCCCTGAAAATATGACTTGTTGGAGATTTAGTCTCATTTGTGAAGTGTAATTCTTTCCAACTCCTCTCTCAATTTCTACCTAGTTGACAGTGATATTGTTCCTCATCTATTTCACGCTTCCTAACTGTAGTCTTCCCCTAAACCATATCTGTGGACACCTTTTTTCTGGATTCTTTTCCTAAGCTTGAACTATGATTACTCCTTCATTCTCAAAAATGAAATTGCCAGGTGGCATCTGAAACTAGACAAGACTTGCTAATCCAGAGTCAGATAAGGTAACACTGCAAATACCTCATGGTAAATCTCCAAGGACAAGGGCAAGTATTATCCTTGAACCTGAGGTTACTCCTAGTTATACAATCATAACTATTTTTTAAACTTTCATAACAGTGCTTATTTATAATATAGTAATACATCATAGTCTACATATTTATGCATAGAATGTGTAATGATCATGTCAGGGTATTTGAGGTATCCATCATTTTGAGAATTTGTCATTCCTGCATGTTGGAAGCAATTCAAGTCCTCTCTTCTAGCTACTTTGAAATATACAGCATACTGTTGTTAACTGTAGTCACTCTACTCAGTTGTTGAACAATAGAACTTCTACCATTTATCTAACTGTATGTTTGTGCCCTTTAACCTACCTCTCTTTATGCCCTGTCCACCCACCCACTCACACATCCCAGCCTCTAGTATCTATCATTCTGCCCTCTACCTTGATGAGATCAACTTTTTCAGCTCTTATATACAAGTGAAAACATGCATTATTTGTCTTTCTGTGCCTGGATTATATCATTTAACATAATGACCTCCAGTTCCATCCGTGTTGTTGCAAATGACATGATTTCAATTCTTTTTTTATGGCCAAATAGTTTTCCACTGTGTTTATATACCATTTAAAAAACCCATCTGCCATTAATGAAAACTGAGGCTGATTTCGTATTTTTGCTCTTGTGAATAAAGTGGCAATAAATGCCTAAGTGCAGGTATCTCTTTGCTACACTGATTTCTTTTGCTTTGGATAGATACCCAATAGTGGGACTGCTAGGTTGTTTGATAGTTCTGTTTTTAGTTTTTTGAGAAATCTCCATACTGTTTTCCATAGTGGCTGTACTAATTTCCATAGTGACTGTACCAACAGTGTACAAGATTTCCCTTCTCTCCAGATCCTCACCATCATATCACGTTGTGGTTTTCATTTTCATTTCTCTGATGATTAGTGATATTGAACATTTTTTCAAATACCCGTTTGTTATTTGTCTTCTTTTGAGAATTGTCTATTCATGTCCTTTGCACATTTTTTAATGGCATTTTTAAAATCATTGAATTGTTTGTATATAAAACAAACTTTATATGTGTATTGCTGAGTTAATTGGACTAATATTTTTGTATATTCTGGATATTAGTCCTTATCAGATGAATAGTTTGTAAATATTTTCTTTCATTCAACAGATTATTTCTTTATTCTTGTTTCCTTTCCTGAGCGAAAGCTTTTTCATTTGAGTCCCATTTGTCTATTTTTGTTTTAGTCGTTGGTGTTTTTGAGGTCTTAGTCATAAAATCTTTGTCTAGACTGACGTCTTGAAGTGTTTTTAGTTTTCTATGTTTTCTTCTAGTAGTTTTATAGGTTTAGGTCTTATGTTTAAGTCTTTACTCTATCTCAACTTGGTTTTCATATATAGGGAGAGAAAGGGGTCTGGTTTCATTTTTCTGCACTATTTGTTGAAGAGAGTGTCCTTTGTTGAAAATCAGTTGGCTGTAAATATGTGGATTTATTTCTGGGTTCTCTGATCTATTTTATTGTCCTATGTGTCTGATTTTATATCCATACCATGCTGTTTTGGTTACTATAGACTTGTTGCATATTTTGAAGTCAGGTAGTGTGATACCTCCAGCTTTGTGCTTTATGCTCAGGATTGCTTTGGTTATTCTGGCATTTTTGGTTTCACGTAAATTTTAGGAATTTTTTTTCTATTTCTGTGAAAAAGTACATTGCTAGTTTGATAGAGATTGCACTGAATCTTGCTTTGGGAAGCATAATTTTTTTGTTCTTTTGGTCAGGGTCTTGCTCTGTTGTGCAGGCTGGAGTGCAGTGTCACAATCACAGTTCACTGCAGCCTCAAACTCCTGGGTTCAAGTGATCCTCCCTCCTCAACCACTCAAGCTGGTGGGACTACAGGCATATGCCACCACGCTTGGCTACTTTATTTTTTGTAGAGACGAGGTCTTGGTATGTTACCTAGGTTGGTCTCAAACTCTTAGACTCAAGCAATCCTCTGCCTCCCAAAGTGCTGGCATTACAGGTGTGAGCTACTGTGCCGGCCAGAAGTATGATCTTTTCAACAGTATGAATTCTTTTAATCCTTGATCATGGGATGTCTTTCTATTTGTGTCCCTTTCAATTTCCTTTATCAGTGTTTTATAGTTTTCCTTGTAAAGGTATTTTACCTTCTTGTTTACATTTATTTCTAGATATTTTATTTTTTGTAGCTATTGTAAATGGGACTTCCTTCTTGACTTCTTTTTCTATTTCATGATTGGTATGTAGAAATGCTACAGATTTTTGTATGTTGTTTTTGTATCCTGCAACATTACTGAATTTGTTGATCAGATCTAACAGTTTTTTGATGGAGTCTTCTGGTTTTTCTAAATATAAAATCATGACCTTTGCAAAGAGGGACAATTTAACTTTCTTTTT